GAAGAAACCGTGCATCTGTACGATGCAAAGCACCGATCTTCATATGTCGGTAAAAAGAGTACATACTTGGAATGATACATTCGAAAAAAAAAAGATAATCGATTTTTTTCTCGCGGAAATATCATTAGTCATTAAAATTAGAATAGATCTCAATAATTTCATCCTTTTGAAAAACATAAAAAGATGATAAAAAAAGGACCTTGTACTAATTATATGAAAAATTGGGTCTCGGTAAAATGAGTTGGCTTTCATATTGTAGCTTACAATGTAATGAACAAAAAATGTTATATACATATGATTCAAACAATGAAGTTTTTGAGCTACGGTGCATCAAAGGTGCTCTGTAAGCACAAGTTTTTTTACACTTTTCATACACCATAGCTGAAAAACTGCCCACTATTTGAGCCATGTACATATAATATTTATTGTTTACCACATTTTAAGTTACCACATATATGAAAATCAATCTATTTATCCGGGATTCAATTATTTATATAATTAGTACGGGTTTCTTTAACTAGTCGTCTTTTTGTTCCTATATAACAAACTCATTTCTCTCAATACAGATTTAAAAATTTATCTATGTCAGAATTCTCAATCAAAAAATCAATCGTTGTAAAAAGGATACCTTTAAAGTACAACATTGTTACTGGAGGATATATTAATAGAAAGCTTATTTAAGTTTATTCCTTAAATCAAAGATATACTTTACCGTAATATTTTGCACAATTCTATAACGAGCTAAGACTTTATTCCAAAATGATAATACGTGATAATTGCTACGTACGAGAATTTATTGCACAGGTGTTTGGCTCAGTATGCACAGCTGGTTATGTGAGTCTCTTGAAACTCACGATAGATTATACGGTAAATACATGTTTATCGGCGGATTAAACCATCAAAGAAATTTCTAGGTCCACGAGAATCTAATTTGTATACGTTTATCTATTACATACATCTTTTTCGTTTGCAATTCAAAGGAATGGAGAAATGCAACATGCAGCGTTACAAGAACTGTATATTTTTTAATTAAGCACTTTTCGAGTTATCTCGGCTTAAGAGTCAAACGCGTAAAGAGCTACGCTCCTTTGTTGCACGCGGCGCGTATAATTGCGCACGATGATACGCGCCGTACAACGCAACGGTATATATCAAATATAAACCCGATAGACGCACGAAACAGCCATGAAACACTGAAAGGAAAGGAGATAATCTTTACGCTCACGTCGAAGCTGGCTCGTGAAAAATCGCCCGAAGCATGCTTAATTCGATATGGATGAGAACGAAGAACACGAAATATTATTTCTAACACGTGATTGATAAGTTTTATATAACCACGTGTTACAATCATAACATGATAGACCAAAACATTGTTCTGGTTTTATTATTTATTTGATACACGAAGGAAAGAATGATTAAAAATTAATAGAATAACAATAGATTTAATTTTGTCAATTTTTCGATTGAATTTTATATTTTTCGTTGAATATGTCGATACCTATTTCATTTTTTTTTCGCAAAAGATTTTAATGGAAAGATAATTTACAATATATGCTATAAATAAAAAGATATACTTTATAATTTCAAAACAAGCTCCTTTAATTAAAAGTTATTATTGCGATTATTAGTTACTAGATATGGGTCTATTTTTTGTTGCTGCACTGAAACTAAAAGACTGGAACTGGACTGCATTGAAACTTTCCTTTCTTGCTTTTTGCCATACTTTATATATATATGTGTGAATTGTATATACACAATAATAAACTATTTATTAGGATCATACTTTAAGATATAGCTTAGTTACTTTAAATCTCATTCAAAATACTATTAAATATTTTACAACACATAGATAATTTAAACAGCAACAAACACGTATTATTAAATGGCATAAAAAAAACAGGTTAGATTTTAAAATTATATAAAATATTACAATATAAAGTTCATTTTGTAGCTGTATATTAAGAAATGTTTTAATTGAATAATTAAACATTGCGAAGAAATAGAATAATTAATAATTTCTATTTTAATGCAAAGTTTCAAAATATATGTTCAATTTGTAATGAAATGTATGTAATAATTGACAATATAGTTCTAACATTAGATGGACATTTAGATTTACAAGCTTAAGGACGTAAACGCGACATTATTATTATACGAAGTCACACTAAAGATGAACTTTAAGCTTTATGAAAGATCCACCCGACACTTTAATTATATCCAGATATTTAAGAAGAGAATAAAGCCTTTAATTCCTGAATATTACATTAAGAAGTCATCGACCCACACGCGAACACGATGAGAAGTGAAGTTGATGCGCGAAGGAGCACTGTCTTGCCCGCGGTGTCTCAAGTTCGTAATGAGAAGGCTAATGCAAAATGAAAATATTAATTTTTGAAAGTATGATAATAGAGTGAAATCCGGCCCCAACTTTCCTTTCGATGCCACGACGTAATCGCGCCTCGCAATTTTCCGCGGAAAAACTCGGTGCAAACGAAAGAGAGGGAAAAATAGCGATGTGATAAACGATTGATAGGACTGCGATCGAATTCGTCCATAAATATACAATATATTGGTTACAACCAAAAATTGTAAAGAATAGAAAATAACAGTACTTTTTTATACTTGAACTTTAATTATTGAGAATCCCATTTACAGACTTTAAACATAAAATATGTAGATCTCATGTTATATTCTTACCAATTTTGTGCTTTAAGCAACAGAAATTGTCATATGCATTACACAACAATTAATCTTGCAAAAAGATCAAAGTTTAATTACATTTCGAATTTACGGAAATTATTTTTGTTAATATGATAATAATAATAATAATATAGATAAGAAATAAATATTTTATTCTATAACAAGAATAAGATATATAAGCCGGAGTAGATAAATTCAAATTAATTTAAGGTTAAAGTCAGCCGTTATTTTTCGTTATTTAAATTGACAGCTTTATTTCTCATGTTATCAGGATAGAAACATCTTGATGCAAAAAGACGTTCATTATGTTTTTATGTTTTTTTTTGCAAAAAAATACCTGGAACTCGTTTAATGTAAGCAAACGAGCATTTTTTTTTTTTAATGGCAAATGTGTAAATCTTACTAATTTTAATTTTCTCAGAATTGTAAAATTTGTGTATTTCTGTTAGTGCTTTGAAATATGACACATACACGCATGTTAACCGACAGAAATACAGCAAGGTGTACTATTTCAAATCGTAAGTTTATAAAATTTCCTCAGCGTTAACTTTACTGTTTAAATACAACAATAATATCTCCGTTTCTTTCGTTTTGATTTATCATAAAAAAATCAGGCACTCATAATAACGATAACGACGACAATACGATGAGAGAATACGTCTCTTTCCATGCCGAGAAATGAAAATTCCGAATTTCGGCATTCGTTTTGTTTTTGCATTTAGCGATATTTCGTGTTTCATATCCAGCGTTAAGTAACGTGTCATTACGTGAGAATAACGAGCACGACGAGTAGCGTGACATAAAAATGAGACTCAGAATCGTAGTTAAGCACACGCGTTAAATGCATGATGATACACGAGTGAAAGAGCAAAAGAGAGACAAAGTGGGGGAAGGAGAAGGAGAATATAATGACAAATGTGACTTCGAACGTGTTTCGTCACGAAACGGAGCGTGCATTAAAGACACCGAGAGGTCCGTGGGATCTAATGATGTATTTAACGCTAAGTGGTGCCGCCCAATTCCGAGTTTTCCATCTAATGGAGATCAGTGAAATAAGAACGGAAAATTTCTTCTTCTCTCCCTCTCTCTCATACATACAGTGAAATGAATTCATATACAATGGCAATAACATTACTGACTAGCTTGTCAAAACACATGAAGTCTGCGCCGACAATGGAGATAAACAGACAAGGGAAGCATTGATTCGATATTTCTAAATTGGAGCAGTCGATATCTCGTCTGTCTGGCTTGGGAGTAAATTAAGCGTGACATTTCATATTTTCGCACCTTATCTCGTTTCCTTCTCTTTCTCTTTTTTTTTTCATCATCATCAGCGAAGCGTCTTTAATCGTTCTATAATGTCAAGGCAAAGAACGTTAATGCACGAGTCCGATTTATATAACACAAGTTGGAAAACAATCAGTTTTTCTTGTTGAAATCAACGTTCATTTAATTAATTCCGGAAACGATACGCGACCTTAATTTTCTTCCCTCATTCTGGCTCTTTCTACCTTACTCTTTTATTTTTAATTTTCCAGCCGCAATTGCTCGCGCATGCATGAAGAAATATCGTCTAACAAAAATTCATAACTTTAGTGGACTCTCGAGATTAAAAAGCTACAACATAACGGACAGATATAAAAGAAACGGCGCGGTAATTGGTGCGCAATAATAAAGCAACGGTAAATTACATATTTACAATAACACATCGCGATAGTAAAACCGAGCGGCTTACTTGAAGTCATCATCAGCGATAATAAAGATGGTTAAGATTAGCAGGGTCGTTTGGCATGAATTCTGTTCTCCCACGTGCAGTGAGAGTTTATTCATCGTTTATTCCGAAAATCCTGCCGACCGCAAAATTGTCGCGGAGCGGCAGATGCGCGTAGTGTCACGTTCGACGTATATCTCACAGCTTCCCGACGTCATGGCGCAAAAGGCTCTACTCGGGAGTATGCGAAGGGAGGAGGAGGGGGAGGGGGAGGGGGAGGGGTGGCGAGCAGGAGGAAATGCAGAAGTAGGAGAAGGAGGAGGTGGCTGCGGGGGAGGCGTGTAGGAGAGGCAGAAGGAGGCGAGGCTGTCCTTCGCGAGGACGAGACGATAGGGCGCCGGGAGGGTGCGGTAGACGTGTTACGAGTTGATAGAGGAGAGATGGATGCACCCCCGATATGATGAAGCGTTTACTGCTATTTTAGGGAAACGGACATTCGAGAGCTCTAGAGATAGAATAAAGACAAATAAACAAGTAGCGGACAAAAATGTAGGAAACACATAAGTGAATGATAGATGGAGAGGCTTACCTTATCCGAGGGTACAGCGCGCACCGTAGTCATCGTAACTGAT